GAAAATAACGAAATACGTTTATTGCGAAGGCAACCTTGACGCAAAAATCGTTGACTGTTTCCTCTAAAGATTTCCAGGGCGCATACTAATAATAGTAATCAGTTAAAGTTTCAATTCCTTCCAATTGCGCCAACGTTCTCTAACACAGGGGGCTTTTATGTATGGAAACGGTGGACTTTTTGACTGACCCTGTATACTAAATTGTGTTCGTCAACCTTACAATTTTTATATTAATGGTTTTATTTAAGGTATCTTAGTTTGGGAAATAAGTCAGCGCTTCCCTACCTAAAAGCGCTCCGTATAAAAATCTCTCGCATTCGATCTTTAAAGTTCTGGAAACTATCAGCGAGTTAAGAACAGTTCGTCGCCGAACCGTAGCGAACTGACGTCAGGGACAATGCGGACGAATCTAAATAATTAATCGAATTTGCCTGTTCAATCAACTGGTTTCAATCGATTTAAATTTTTACGTCTTCCGACGCGTACCAAAGATCCCAGTAATCCGCGCTGTACGTACGTGATAACGATTTACTTATTAAACACACCGTCTAAACAACAGCACACAGACAGAACAGAACAGTTTTTCCGCCCTTTCCGCAACAATATACAGGGTGATTCAACATATTGCGTTGCAGCCACACGAGAACAAGCCTACGTGTACGCAATCAGTTCAGCTGCGCTGACTTATACACTGGCCCGAGCTTGTTCCAGTGGAAACTTGCACCATTGCACCTGTGCAGGCAGACCGACCAGCCCGAATGTGGACAGCTTCCAATGGGGCGGCTGCGGCGATAACGTCAGGTAACGTAAAACAGCCCCAACTATAACCAGCGAATCGCTAAAGACACTCTTCCGCAGATGGGCGTCCCAGTTTGCAAAGCGCTTCATCGACAACGTCGAAAAGCACAGCTTGGGGAAGAAGGAGAAGACCAAACGCGCCAAAGAGGATAACTCCATCCTCAGGGACGATGCGGCTGTGGTCAATCTGCATAACAACCGCGTGGGAAGAAAGGTAGGCTGATTGCAGCGGGAAACTCGGGCTGAAAATGTTGTGCCCAACAGGTGATCATGACCAGTCTGCGTACTCAGTGCAAATGCCACGGAGTGTCCGGCTCATGTAATATAAAAACGTGCTGGAAGGCGCTTCCATCCATGACGGAAGTCGGGCAGCAGTTGCTCCAGAAATACACCACAGCCAAAGAAGTGTCGAAGACTCTGGTGGATCGACTTCAGGTGCAAGTGGGGAAGAAAGTGGCCACGTCCGAGCAACTGGTTTACATGTCCAAGTCCCCGGACTATTGCACCAAAGACGAGAAATTGGGGAGTTTTGGAACGGTTGGCAGGTAATCAGTGTTGGGCAAAATTGATTTTTATTTAAAAAATCAATAATCACTGATTTATTTAAATTAATCAAAAAAAT